TTGGGCTATACCTAACATCTTATTGATAGTTGTCATTTTCAAATTTGTCGGCCTAATTGAGCTTGTTGTTCCAATTGGATTACTTGCAAAAGAGAGTCACGTGGCACGGTTCTACTTCATAATTGCTCAAGTGATTGTGTGCAAAGTGCCTGCTTTATGAGAGGTTTTGAAGCTCAGATCTTGGAAATGATACTTGGGTATTTAAAGGGTTAATTTAACAAATCATCTATTAATTTTCATATTCTTTTTAGTTTCATCTATTATCTTTAAATTATTTTAGTTATGTCTATTATTTTTCACATTTATTTTAATTTAATCTAATCCGTTATCTTTAACGCAAATATCCGTTATCTTTAACGAATTTTCTTATTCTATAAAAAAAATATTAAGTCTTCTAATTATATTTCTTTTGATCTTTTAGTCATTAAATTTATATTTACCGTAAAATTAGTTTTTGTTATTATTTTGTTAAATGTGTTCTTCAGAAAATTATTTTATAGAGTGGACTGTATATAGTTCATCTTGTAAAATTATCTAAATACCTTTAATTTTATTTTTATATTATTTTTTTCAGAGATATTTAAATACTTTTACAGGACAAACTATATTTAATTTGCCATGTACTGTAAAACATACTTTTAAAACTTCTCGTTTTAAATTTTCTAAGTTTTTCTATTTGAATTGAGTTAGTTGTTCAAGTTTATTATAAATTCTAATTAATCTATCTCTATAAAATACTCATGAAATATTTATTAGGATTATAATGTCATTTTTTCAAAACTTAAAGGATTACTTTTTCCATTAAATCTAACAAAATTTTGTATAGTAGACTATTTCAAAATATTTTCCAAAATTTATAGACCATTTAGAAAGAAACTAATTAAACTTTATAGATTAAAATGAAATTAAACTGATAGTTAATAGACTAAAAATTAAATTAAACCAATATTTAAAATAGGAATATATTAGATCCTTAATATGTAAAAAATTATTTTTTTTTTAATATTAGAATGTCTAATCTCAACTGCACAAAGATATAATTCACATAAAACTAACTACATGTTCCACCTATATTGTGACAAAGTGTGACAATCTTCTAATAAATCGTTAAAAAAAAAAAAAAAAAAAAAAAAAAAAAGGAATCAGATTAAATTACCACAACATGATACCAGAGGACAAGGAGAGCTTGATCACAGGGACAATGTCTTGGAAGGCAGCTTTACTGAACCCTTTCCATGTATTCCGACACCACCCTCCAAATATGTACACGAACTCACCGATGACCGTTGACCAACCAGAGATATTCAAGGCGGCCATTGCTCCGTTGACTCCCCAGTCAAGCTTGTAAACAAAAATCCATGAGAGCAACAGATGAAGCAGGAGGGAAGCAGCGCAGAACCAGCCAATGATCATGTTCTTCATCTGCGCTTGCAAGTACATTTGGATTGTCAGTGCGAAGACAAAGTTGTAGAGGAAGGGTATGAACCAGAGCGAGATTGGCCCTGCCGCCACTGCTATCTCTTCCTCCTCACCCAGAAGTCTCAAGATTTGTCTGGCAAATACGAAGAACGGAACTGCCAGTGTCGCCACTACACCGTCAACAATCCAAGACCTCTGCAAGTAAATTCCCATCATGTGGTAGTGTCCAGCGCCGTACGCTTGGCCGCATAATGTTTCGGTCGCACTTGACATGCCGATCTAATTAATTTCACATAGACAATAAACCGTCAGTTTTAGATTGACAGGGGATTGATAATTAAATGGATTAAGACAACAAAGTTAACTTTCTCACTTACAAGTTCCAATAACTACTCATTGCGTATTTTTTTATAAAAAAAATCGAAGTTGGGAAAATTCGTGCTTACGAGGATTCCACTGATGAAGCGTAGGAAAATGCTTTGGACTAAGGCGAAGGTAGCGAGTTGGATATCACTGACATGGCCCAGGAAGGACTGAGTGACGACGATGAGACCGAAAGCCGTGACTCTGGCGATTATTCCAGGGAAAGCGATTCTCCAGATGGTCTTTGATTCATTCAAGACCTTCGTCCTCAGATTAGTGGTGTTTTCTTGTTCTTCGGTAGCTGGTAGCAACCTCTCTGCAAGATTGTTCTCCATGGCCACTGCGCTTGCTACCTGCAGAATTAATGACTGATGTAGCGAATGTTCTGCTGAATTTATAAATAAGTTCCAAACTTCTGAAAAGATTAGTCCCTCAATGATGTTCAGCGTTAAGTGTAATTCTTCATATTTAATGACCGCTTATTATAAACTTACAACCACCGGTAATATAATAAGTACATTATTGCCGAAGTTTTATTATCCTCCCTGTACTCCTTTTGTCTTTGAATAATAATTTTTTTATATTTAGAATTTGTTCTAGATTGATGGTCATTTTTAGAGTATTTTAAGAGAGGTAAAAAAATTTTCTCTGTTTAACATTATTATTATTCCTCAATTTTAATAATTTAGTTTGTTACAAAAAGATATCTTTTATTTTTATATTTTTAAGGGTAATTATAAGTAAAAATATAAATTATCTCTAAATCAGTAATATGAGGTAAAAAAAAACTTTTATTATTTTAGAATGAAGGGAGAATGTAAATATATAGTTAAGAGTGCTTAATAATTAATTTCTGTGAAGAAAATAATTAAGAGGTAATTTTTGTACAACATTTTCATACTCCTCTATTCAAATTTAGTAAATTTAGTTTTTCTCTTGCTCAATAAAATAAAGATATAATAATTAATTAATAAAATTTTATATTTATCTCTAATTTATTATTTTTTAAATAAATTTTTTATTAAATATTAAATATTATAATTATTTTTTAAAATAAAAATAAATATATTAAATGACATTAAAAAAAAGTTATCACATCATTACTTTTTTAGTTTATATTTCTTTTTAGCTCACAAAGTCACAACAAAATTTCATGATTAATACTCACAATAATTATCTGATATTAGATAAATAGATGTATAGTGATTTGCTTCGGTCAAGTTAAAAAGAGCCAAACACGCTGTTACTGCCTGTAAGATTATCAAAGTTTACCATAAGAGTAATTAACATTGCGGTGAATAATTTTTCCTTTTTTTGATGATCAATCCTTCCCGTTTTACTCATTTAAAAAAAAAAAATCGTTTCCGTTTTAATATGTATCAACTCAATTAAAATTGTAGAAGTTATGTTTGGATTGTGTGAATTTTTTTTTAATTGTACAATAAAAGACATTCATATTTTATTTTTTAATGTATTTTATCAAAACGTTATGTAATTTAAATTTAAAATTTTTTATTTTAATTAAAAATATTATTATTAAATTACTTACCTTGTTGATGATTTTCATAAAATGTTACTATTATAATTTTTTGAGTATTTTACTTTCACAAAAGCTTTGTTATTATTTGGTAATTGTTTTGAAAAAGGTATTATATATTAATATGATTATTAAATTATAAAAAATATTAAAATTAATTTAATTATAATAAATTAATACTTTTATCGAGGTGTTGTCACAACCCCAAATACAACCTCATACTAAATAAAAATGAATTAATGTCACATAATCTTTCCATGTGAATATGATAATTGATGTTTATACTCCTATGTTTTTTTTACAATTGCAAAATGAATTAAAGGGTTGTTTTGGTAGAATTTTGACCGCACGGAACATATATTATTGATAGGAACACGTGTTTCTTTTGGGAAAAGACACCTACTCCACACATAACACGCCGGTTAATTAGTTGGGTGTTGAATGGTAAGTGAAGAAATGAAGGCTGCGTGATTTTTCTTTTCTTTTTTGGTTTTTTTATGAAAAGTTGCCCATTCCATACTTGCTAATCTATGACAATAACTTTTTAAAACGAAAATAAAAACCTATGACAACAATGCCGGAGATAATTGGAGTCTAACTCTTAAATTAGTTTAAAAGACAAATTTTATGAAAAATTATTTACACTGTAATTTACATCGGTATAATTTAATTCAAACCCTTAAATTATTACTTTAACTATTTTTTATTTCAACAATTTTTTGCTAGGATTGTACATTAAATTATTATTGAGCTTTTCTAGTTTGTGCACTTATCTCAGAAAACTTTTATTAATTTAGAAATGTTTAATTTTTTAAATTAAAAATTAGATTTAATTTAAGCTCATTTAATCTATATTTAGACTTAAAAGAGGCTGTAGTTATGTAGGGCTACACAGGTTTTCAGATATTTTATTAGTTTGTACATTTTTTTAATAATTGGTTATAATATTTTAAAATATCTGTTTATAAACTAACTTCAATTTATTAAATAATAAATAAATTTATTCATAAGGCAAAAAAAATTTAGTTAGGGACCCTATTCTCAGTTATGTTTTTAATAACTAAAACAAGCACAACAATTACCAACGACCTAAATAGTTCAGTGGTTATCACCTTCCACTAGAAGTAAGAAGTATTGAGTTCGAGTCGCATGGTATGTGGGTGAAGTGGGATAAAAGATAAGAGATGGTTGCCTCCTATTATGCAATCAAGATTAAAAAAAAAAAAGAAAAAAGAGAAGAAGCACAACAATTGATTTGAACCTAACTATGATCACATTCAAGTTATCATCCTCTTCTGACAAGAGCAAATTTTAATAAAAAAAAATCTAGAAATTAAGCAAACACCGGAACCTTCAAAAAAAAAAAAGAAAAAAAAAAAGAAGAGAAACTTCTACAAGAGTGGAAACAACTCTTACAAGAGAAAAGAAAACCCTACCCTTAGCTATCTATCCTAACAGCCGATAGAGAGGAGAGAAGTGGTAGCAACTAGGGAGAAGAAACAAACTAAAGAAAGAAGAAAAAATTAGGGCGAGAAAAGCCGCTAGGGTTCTTTTTGGTTTGTTATTGTATGGTAGTTAAAGAAAATACTATAAGACAAACCCAACTTATCAAAATCTCATCACATTGAAAAAGATGCATATATGCTCCCCATTCTATATATTATTGATGGGAATCTTAAAATTTTAGTCTTTTTATTAATTTTTTTAATAGGTACAAATTTAGAGTGGGAGAATTTAAACCCAACATTTAAAATTAGAAGTGCACATTTCTTAAGACTTTTTATAATAAATCTAAGCCAAGTGCAATTGTAGTCTTTCTATCTGTTATGACTGTGATGCAAAAATTGGTTTTTTGATTTTTAATATTTTAGAAATATTTAAATTTTTTTTTTTATTTTAATTAATATTTTATACTATACAGTTTAAAAAATAAAAGAAAAAAAATTATAATTAATCACAGCAACCTTACAATTTTCTCAAACAAAGTCTTCGTAAGTTTTAGAGGCTGTTTGGCGGAGGCTTTTTTGGAGTTACTTTTTTAGTAAAAGTTTTAAATTTTATTTCTTGAGTTTGTAATGTTTTTAGAGGGAATGTGTTTTTTTAGTAAAATTAATAGTGCTAAAATAATAAATTTTAGAGGAAGCAATGCATTGTTGCTTTTTGCAAAATTTAGTATTTTAGTACTATTTTACTAAAAAAGCAAGCATTCCTTTCAAAAATTTTCAAATATAAGAGACCAAAATTTTAAAATTTTTATTAGAAAAGTAATTTCAGAAAAGTCTCTGGAAAACGGCATCTTATAATTCGCCAAATAGCTTCCTTGAGTACCCACTTCTTTGGGCCACTATCAGTTTAATCAATCAACGACTTTTCAATTAGCTAAAATATGTTTGAAACAAATAAAAAACACAAGGGGGAACTGTCACACAGGGCCCCTGTAGAAAATTGGACAGCAATCTTTAGACTCTTCTAAGAGGATCAGATTTGCTTCACATCATTTTTTTTTCATGATCTTTTTAGCTAGGTTGTGCATAATTGGTTATCTGTATTAGGGAGGCAATTTCATGAAAGCTGCACAAAAATAGGTTTGGTTTGCATTTAGAAAATTTAATTTATAAATACAAAATCTAGTGAAAAATATAGTTGATTATATCTCCTTTAAAATTCGTTATAAAACTAGTAACAAAGAGTAAGAGGTTATTGAGGTTCTTTTGGATAAATGTAGTCAATTATATTAATTATAATTAGTTATGCTCTAAATAACAATGTGTTATGTAATTTGAGTTATACCAAACTATATAATTTAATCTATTAAGTGGGGTAAGTCGCCAACTCTCTCTCACTCATTAATTTTTGTTTTATAATCTAAATTACAAAACTAATAAATTCTTTTCAAAATAATCACTTTTATGTACTAAGTTGACTAGGAAAAAAATGAGAAAAAGAGTTGTTACTGTGCAACACATTTTATTAGATAAAAATGACTTTTGATATTAGAAACTCTTTTTCCATCTAATTACTTTTGTTTTACAATCCGATGTATGGGATCCAAGAAAAAACTAAATTTGTAAATATATCTTCCGAAATAGAGTAACCAAATCCAAGTTCGAACCTCATAGACCACCAGTTGTGGCTAAATTAACCTTTGTTAAAAACTAAAAGGCCTAGGCTGCAGCAGTGCAGCCTCTATTAGAGTCATGACTCATGTCATGAGGTTTCTGCCCCAAATCCTACTCTATATGGGTCATGATGGAATTCTCAATTAATGTTATTTTTTGCCCTACCTACCTCAGTACCACAGTATTTGTCACTGATTGCATCTTTTAGGAGGCGCTATCTTCATCCTCTCAAAAATGATATACTAATTACAATGTGATATCACATTTCATTTGTTTGTAGTGCATAAGTTATGAGTATATTTAATATTATTGTTTGTATAATAAATATAAATGTTGATTTTAATTTAATTAATTGTATAATTAAAATTATCTAGGGTTGCAATAATATTAAAATAAATATAATTTTTTATGGTTTATTTATGAAATTTATTGCACAATGTGATGCATTTGTTACATTTTTAACTTACCTAAAAGTATAAATTAGATAAATTCTTTTAATTTTATAATATTTAACTCTTATTAATTGAAAATTTATTTATAATATTGTACCTATATAACTATTTAAATAATATGTTATGAGTATAAATTTATACATTTATGTGACATTATAATTTTATCATTTTGACCTCAATTTAGTTACTAAGAAAAGGTTAAATACCAATTAACTTTATATTTTGAATTCCTTTGGTCTATAAATTTTTTTTATGTACTTTTTTTGTTCTTTAACTTTAGAAATTATATTTTTTTGTTATTTTATCAGTTAAGTAATGATATAACATTGACTCAATCCAAAATGATATATATATAGATGTATATATATATATTTTTTATGATGTGGAAACGACACATCATTAATAATTTAGCTTATTATTGCTCTTGGTGTCCAAAAACGTTTCTGGTGGAGAAAAAGTCTGAGGAAGTAGAAGATTTTAGAGATATTTTTCCTATTTTATAAGTTTTAATATTTTAATTTTAAATTTTTATTTGGTGGATAATTTTTGGTTTTTTTAATTTATTAATTATGTATTTAAGTTAAATGATCAACATAAATGTCACATATTTTACGCAACTAAGTTAAAAAGCTTATTTATAATGAAAATGTCATCGAAAGATTGAAGAAAAATAAATTTTAAGTGAGTCAATGATCATATTATTAGTTAACAGGCAACATTGGTGGAATGAATTAATAGTTAAAAATTTGATATTTTAAATTAAAAATCTTAAATGTAAATTTTGAATCAAGTGAGAGGGATTTGAAGATAAGGGAAAGTTATCTCTTCTTAAATAATTTATAATTAAATGTATCAAAAAAAATAATTAACTGATAAAATGACAAAAAAAATACAATTTATATAGTTAACTGACAAAATATATTAATCCTATACGAATAAAACATAACATGTTACGTCATCACTAACATCACTTTTCTTTAGATTTTCTAAACAGCATTTAATAATTTAATTACAGCAATTGTGAGGTTGGAAAGCGAAGGAGGAACGGACAAACCAACCAACTTTCAACGGACTTTAGTTTAGAGTAGTAATTGAGAAAATAATACCTTTGACCTCCGTCTTAACTCTCATATAAGCTTTATCTAAAGAAGGGTTGTTCTGAACCAGCTTTAAACTTAATAGTTTATTCTTAAATCTTAGTACTTGAATTAACTTAGTTAGAAATTTAATGGTTAAATTCAATAAATAACTTATTAATTATGTGATTTATTTCAGTTTAATATAGAAACAATTTTTTCTTTCAAAATAATTTATAAATTATCAATTTTGTTTCAAAATGATTTATTTAACAAACATTTCGTTAACTTATTAACGGAATTCACAGAATTAATTAACAGAATTCTTTTTGTTGATAAGGTGCTCCTTAAACTTTTAAAAAATGTTAAATATAGTATATATATTTTTACTTTTTACAACATTTTGTTTTTGAAGTTCCAATTTTTTGGTAAAATATAATAATTAACCAAAATGAAATTTCAATTTACATTCATTAAGATTTTAATTTTAATTTACAATAATCAATATTATAATTTAAATTTTATAATTTCTAAAAAAATTTAATTTATTATTAAATATTAATATTTTTAATAAATAAGCCCTTCTAAAATTTAATTTAATTAAATGAGCACCCACATATAATTAAAATTACTTGAAAATTTAAATTATGTAATTTAATAATGATATTAAGTTTTTAAGAAATAATTAAATTTAAATTATAATATTGATTGTTGTACATTAAAATTAGAATCTTGATCGATGTAAATTAAAATTATTATCTTAATTAATTATTACATTTGACATAAAATTTAAATTTCAAAAACAAAATATTGCCAAAAAAACAAAAATATATATACTAAATTTAATATTTTTCAAAAATTTAGGGGCAGCTTGTCAATAGCAAGAATGACTTCTGTTAGTCAATTAACGGAATGTTTATTAAGTAGACCATTTTTGAAACAAAATTGATAGTTTATAGATCATTTTGAAAGAAAAAATTAATTTTCAACTAAATTGAAATAAACCATATAGTTAATAGACTATTAATTGAATTTAACCAAATTTAACTCCGACTAACTCATTAAAAATTTTACTTTCTCCTATAATTTCTCATATTCAAAAAAAAAAAGAAGGGTTGTTCTATACTAGGTCACAAGGGTACATAACAAATATTTTTTATTATAAATTTATGTTAAAAAATAAAAATTAATTTTTAATTTATTAATTATTTAATTAAATTTATTTATTTGATAATAATATTAAATTAATGTCAATTTTTACATTTAATATATATATATATATATATATTTATGATGTGGAAACGACACATCATTAATAATTTAGCTTATTATGGCTCTTGGTGTCCAAAAACGTTTCTGGTGGAG